AGTGAATACAACACGAGTAAGTGAAAAACGAGATCCTGGTTTGAGTGTGTTCAATATATAATGTGTTCGCGTCGAAGTTCCTTGATATACTGAAACGATGAAAGCACCATTCAGACATTAGCAAGACAAATTCACAACTCCTTTGAACTTCACATAATTGAATGCAATTACCTCTGTCTTTCCACTGAACAACACCACAACGTCATCATCTTCGTCGATAGGCTCTTGCTTTACCTAAATAGAATTTCGTTTATGGGAGACTTATTCAAGACATTACAATTCACCCCTCCTTCAACTCCCTATGAAAACACTTAAAGCTTTCTAGAGGTTTTTTAAGACAAGACTAATTCAAGAAACTCATTCTTTTGCTAGACTGGTGGACCAGGAATCTAAAGGTGCGAGATTTGCAGGCGCATTTGCTGCGGGAACCGCGCAATATCAAATTTTTTCGATTCCTGATATATTATGTTTTATTAAGTGAGACATTTAACATCTTCTCTGCATGAAAATCTCTACAACACCATGAAATTGCTTTCCAAAACATCAATAAAAAGTTTCAATAACATCAAATTTAATCGACAAAGTTCACAAAAGAATTTATATAACAATTGATAATGATGCAAACTCACCACAGGTGGATGTGGTAGTTGTCGCTGTTGGGCAAATACGTCATCTGCAATCAAATCATATAACAGAGATACAGAAACCATGAGTATTCTCAACAAGCAAATACATAGGGATATAAGGGCGCAATACAACGTGACAATAGTGATTTCTTACCTCTGACCGGATCCCTTCGTTCGACAGTGGATACAACATGCGACGAACCAGTTTCCTGCAGATGAAGTAAATTACGAAAATCGTATAGCTATATCAGTCATCTAGTCCTCCCGACGTCACTGTTCTTGGAGCCACGTTCGAGTAGTCTTCTCGTCACAATAATATCTATACTCACTGAAGTGATTCTGGTTCTTTCCGAGCGTATCTGGCACTGTTCAGTAGGCATGGCACGTGGGACAACAGGCAGAACAGCAGGTGGGACAGCAGGTGGGACAGCAAGTGGGACAACTTGATCTTCCTGATAGACGTCCACTTCAAAATGACGAACAGAAACGAGATCATCGGAGAAGCTAATCCTCCTTTTTACAGTTTTCTTCGACAACATCAGGCATGACTTCAAGCGAGGTGTTGACAAACTCTCTTCAGCACGCTTCCTTCTGTTATCCTGCTGATGCCCTGGATCAGCTTCGCGTACTGAAACAAAGTATGAGAGAAAGTATATGAGTGAACAGCCAAAGGGACACAGCGAATTTCTGAGAAAGACGAAAGAGTCAAACGTCATCTTTAAAAGAGACGCAAGGGTCATCTGATCCAGGTGACATCCGTAGTGTGGCCATATCTCGCTTCAATGTGGACAAAACTGCAAGCAGGGTCACATTCAATACAACTCCACGAGGTGCATCTTTTATATAGGGTGCTCGTTCGGTCACGGTAGGCAGCCAGACTTGCAAATCCTTTCAAAGAATTAGTGCTTGAGGTAGGTCACTAAGGGTGCTTGATCACTGAACACTCTAATCTATCGTAAGCGAACGTACTCATTCGTGAAATCTAACTGCCTATCGTACACCTGTTGTGACTTAACAGACACCTCTATAAATCAGAAGATGCGCCTCGTTGAGCTGAATTGAATGGTGCCATTGGGATTAAATTTTGTCCACAGAAAGTTAGATATGGCCACTCTACAGCGACGTCACACAGCTCAGGTATAGTTGACTGCATGGAAACGCCCGGGTTCAGCGGCCGCGCGCATGTCTCTTGCGGGCTAACATTGGCATTCGCG